GCCTGCCACTGTTGCTCTGCAGTGTGTAGCTACTCATCCGGCTCTGTTTAGTATTGCTTTTAGTTCACACTGTCAGTGAAGAGGGGGTCAGTGCAACGACCGAGGCCTGTGTGTGTGTGTGTGTCTGTGTGTGTGTGTGTGTGTGTGTGTGTGTGTGTGTGTGTGTGTGTGTGTGTGTGTGTTAGTGAGGCCAAGCAAACATGCAGCATTAGTCTCTGACACTCTGGCAAGGACAGTAAAAACCGCGCTGAGCATCAGTTCAGTTTGAAAAAAATAAAAATGATAATAAAATAAAGTAAAACAAACATAGCTTGCTACTTTCACACACAGAGGACCGCCTCTGCCACAGAACTACAACAAATAGACTGAACCCTGTTCCTTTATAATCCTCCATCAATCACCAGAATACAGCAGGGCGGCAGCGCTGGACCGTCGACTGCAGGCCTTTTTCCTCGAATCTGTGTCGGGTGATATGAATTACCTGTGGTCATATTCTACAGGTGTCCAGGAAGTGGTCGGTTAGTTCTACTCCACTGTAGTTCTGTGGCCGAGGAGTTGAGAAGCAGGGCAGACATTTACAAACACATGTTCCCAAGTCTGAAAGTGTGTGTGTGGTAAAATGTCCAGTTTCAGCTCACAAGTGAAAACACTACTCTTCTATCTAACAAAAACATCTGGTTATTAGCATTAATGTTACAGTGAATTTTTTTATTTTTTTTTCCTAAAACAATGTTAACTTTTTTCACACAACTAAAAAAAACAAAAAAACAAACAAACAAAAAAAACAAACTCAAGTACATTTTTTTTTACAGTATTTACCTGCAGCCATGTTGGAAAAAAAGAAACATTTTTTTCTTCTAAAACTGTGAATGTAATAATCTTCTTTTTTTTTTAATAAGTTAAAAAATAATTTAAACAACACATTTCAAATGAGAATTGTGAACGCAAACAAATACAGACTGTTAACGGCAAAAAAAAAAAAAAAAAAAAGGAGACATTTTTAAATTTTGTTGTATGTTTTAAAAAACTTTTATACAACAAATCCTGACACTAAAGAAGAAGAAAAACAGACAGGAAGCAGAAAGGGAAAGAGTCCTATACAAGTAGACATCGTTGTATACAAAAGCCGAGTTGTTCAGCTCAGTGTTAGTGACCAGTGATATAAACTCTGAGGGAATATTTCATATTAGTCAATAAATATGAGAGTATACAATAGAATAAGGGACAAAAAGAGAGCGGGAAACAGACGGGGAGGGAGAAGCTGGATAGTCTCTATGGCTTTTACAGGCTTTGTGGCCCAAATAACCTTAAACATCAGTATCATCATCAGACAGTAGCTACAAACAAACACCCGGCGGACGTCCGGACAGGCGCTCTGATCAGGGCAGAGCTGCGAAAACCAGTCGGGAAGAAGAGTGAGAGATGGAAAAGTGGGATTATTGGAAAATGAGGGTGTGGCGGACGTTCACACTCAAAGAGCTGCTGGGAAACTGTGAAGGTGAATTCTGCTGAATTTGACTTTTTTTCCCACCGTGTATTCAGAGTCAAACACACGTTCTTATTTTTCATCTCTGTGTGCAGTTTTACAGCGTGTTTAACATCGGGAAATCACCTTTAATCATCATTAGTAGATAATCAAACACAAGGAGGAGTATTAGGGCCACACTGAGGAAAAAAATATCTGAAATTACGAGAATAAAGTTGTAATTTTGAGAATTAAAATAAAATGAGGAACGTGGAGCATCCTGTAAAGTTCTACTTTACGTTTCACAAAGAAGGAGAAACTCATCAGCTCATCAGAATCTGTTCTATTGTGACAAACAGCAGCTGCCAGAAGCAGCTCAGGCTGCCACTGACTGTCCTTTCACCCGTTTGATTGGTTGCTTGTAATATTCCTTAATATTAATATTCCTGCAATTTTACATTTTTAATTCTTGAAATATTACGACTTTTATTCTTGTAATGTTACGACTTTTATTCTTGTAATATTATGATTTTATTCTCAAAATTTCAGATGTCTTTTTTGGCTCTAATACTCCGTCGTAAAATACATGTAATATATGAATTTATGAAATATTTCCTTTATTAGCGCTCCAACTGGTTGACTGTTAAACCGGCATATATCATAGGAAGGTTAAGATTGTCTTAATACCTCTTAATCCACATCCACGTCTTTTTAAATGTACTAAATTATCACAGTACATTTCCTGGGGCCTGTGTTGCCCTGAGTTTCGTCTCTCAGGCGGCCACTCGCTTGACCCTAAGTTACCTGGGGACTGGACCCTCCAGGACGAGCCTGGTCCTGGTCAGGCCGAAGTTTCACCTCCAGACTGAACCAGCGTTACAATTAACCTGTCAGACTGAAACACAGAGTTTTCTCCCCGAAGGTTCCTCTTTACTGCTGCACAGTGAACACAACTCTGTTTGTGGTACTTGTTAGATTTATCACATTCTGCTGACACGAGTAGCACTTACTGTTTAATTACCTGTGTGTGTGTGTGTGTGTGTGTGTGTGTGTGTGTGTGTGTGTGTGTGTGTGTGTGTGTGTGCGTGCGTGTGTGCGTGCAGCTACTGCTCTCATGACTAGCTTCCTGCCATTAGAAGCTGCTAGCGTCCTCGCCACTGTCACCAGATTGCATGTGTTTAAAAAAATAACAAATAGATTTTTCTTTTTTTCTTTAGTTTGTTGCTAATAATTATTTATTAATTATTGTGATTATTTGTCTTTGTATTTATCTCTTGTAGCTTGTATCTGAATCTGCGCTGTTTGGAGTTCAGTTTCTGTTCTTAGTGTCTAACAGACGTCAGCATCAGTGGTTACAGCGGTCACTGCTGTACAAACATATTGGAGCTGTTAATGCTGCAGCGCTAACTGCTAATGCAAACCAAACATTCCCTATTGCTTCTTTATGAAACACCTCTCAGGTCAAATCCCTCATCATTTCATTGAGACGAGCGGAGCCAACTCTCAGTCATCGCCCTCACCCTCGCCTTGAATATCATCTTAACACCTACGATCTGAATTTAACCCTTTTGATTGGCAGACCTTGCCTGGGGTTGTACTCGGCCTGGGAGGAAGTTCACCTCAGGCCAAGGTGTTATTTTACTAAATAATATAAGTATTTTTTTCTCATATATTTCAGTCCTGGAGGAAGTGTATTTCCCCTCTTTAGAGAAGATGCAGCTGCCAACCTGAATGAGGCTGCACACAGAGACACGAAGCCATCCATGGATTTGTCTGAGTCTGAGTTAGAAAATCAGCTTCCCACGATTTCCCCCAAAAACCATCACCCATGCAAAGGGGACGCAGAAGCTGACGCACACCGTGACACGTAGGCCGACTTTGTGAGTTATGGCTGTGCTGTAGACCGCTTATCTACAAGTGGAAAGTCGAGAGGAGTCAGCGACCCTGAGTGGTTTGTTATAGACAAGTTCACGTCTGCACGGAAAACGTGCAGCTGTGACGCATAAACCGATGCCGAACGAACACGTAAAGACGTGAAGCAGCGCGGCCGCTGCGTGTCGTGACCCATCAGCCTTACAAAGCTACTGTACAGGATTGTCTGCTTGTGCACTTTTTTTAAATTTTTTTTTATTTTATTTTTTATTTTTTTTAAATCACCACCGAGAAATGAAAAGTCAAAAAAAAAAAATCTCACACCTGCTGCAGGATAATTATGAACTCTGAACACAGGTCAGGAAGCTGAGACGTCTGGCGTTTGTGTCCTGTCACAAAAACAAATGCTCATTATTATTCTCCATCTTCTATTTGTTCTTTAATTAATTTTGTCCACGTGGAGCTCAGCTGGGGATCAGCATGAACATCTGAACCTCTCTCATCACCCACGATGAGAGCCGCTGCGGCGCGGCGTCACACCGAGAGTTCCTCCCTTTAACCGGGATCAGTTATCAGCGGGTTTGGAGTTAACTGTGGCTGTTTGTTATGAATTCACAGAGGGAATAATGACGACTTCTCTTTCCGTAGGTTTCCGATTCACTGAGGAATTACAGTTTTGTCCATTTAGCTGCTCTTTAGCTGTTTTCGGGTTTTTCCACGTGTGCGTGGTCGCCCTGCTTTGACCGCGCCGTGCCGAGCCAAGTTGTGGTGACGTGTAGCTTCTACCTGAGTCTCTGCAGTTTGAAGTTTCTGCTCGTACTTTCATATCTCAGCCGAGTCAGAGCCGTGTTCAGTTACTTTACCCCGACCAATGCAGGATTTGTAAGGCTGATACCAATATTGATATTTTGAGTTTAAAAAAATCTAATAATAATGTATTGTGTATTGGCCAATATTAACTTTCACTGCAAAACCTGTAACATAGATAAATATTTTTCAGGTTTGAATTATTTTTTTGGACAGTTGTGAGCAGGAATTGTGAGCTGGACATTTTGATATTAAAAAATAAACTCTCACTCTCTGGTGAATGAACTATATAATACTGGTGACACTGTTTCGAAGCCTGTCTTTGGTATTTGTGGCCTGGCTTCACATTAAAACTTTAGTGGGAGGCTTTTATTGTGAAGAGGTTACAGGAAATGCAGTGTATTTATCCCCAAGTTAAAGGTGCCATCCTTCAGTAAAAAACAGATTTGGACGTCTTCTGTGTTGTTTGGTCTGCAGATCAGTTTTAAATACTGCAGGCGGGAACAGCACAAACAGAACCAGCCGCATTGAGCTGAACAGACTCTTACTGTGGCGAACCTCCAACACGCCACACAACCACAACCACTGCACCATGGGAAAACCCAGTGTGTTGCTGCTGTGCATGGCCTCCATGGATGATGTTGTGGCCCTATCTGAAATCAAACATGTTCCACTGATCCCACTTTGACAGTTTTAAAGAAAAGTGGAGGAGAGAGGAAGAGAGGCCAAGAAAGAAACAGTAGAACGAGAGAGAGACAGAGGAATAAAAGAGTAAAAGCAGGAAATTAAAAACTGCCCTGTCCATCTGAACACCAGCGCAGGAGCTACCTCAGTGATGCAGATTCCTCCTCCTTCATTAGTACGGAGCAAACTTCTGTCTCTCTGGCTTCTTCATCCCGTTGGCTGAGGATGAGATCTTGGCCGTGTAGGACGCCAGAGCTGCCGCCGCATGAGCCTGAACCGGGACGCCCGCCGTTGCCGCCGTGGGCATGGAGCCCTGCAACATGGGAGCCCCGATGGCCGCCGCCGCTGCCGCCGCCGCTGCTGCTGAGGCGGGAGGGGTGGAGAGTGCCAGGTAGGGGATGGATTTCACTCCCAGGAGGCTGGAGAGTGGGAGGGCGTAGGGAGCGCCCAGGATGGGAGCGTGGGACAGTGTGGCGCCCATCGCTGCCAGGGGGGAGGAGGAGGAGGACGAGGCAGAGGCAGGGGGGGCGGGCTGGGTGAAGCTCATGGTCAGGTCAACGGGAGACGGCATGGAGGAGGACTGGGCGGTGGATTTGGCGGTCTCTAAACTGGAGGAGGGGAGGTACGGGGGAAGGAGGGAGGGAGGGAGGGAAGGAAGGAGGAAGAGGTCGGGAGAGGAGGTGGAAGGAAGGGAGGGGACGGAGGGTGGAGGGAAGGGGAGAGGGGTAAGGAAGAGGGATTTTTGGATGGAGAAGGGTTAGAGGGTTAAATAAAAGACATGTTAAAGAAATCAAGAGTAAAAACCAAAAAAGGAAAATTAACAGGAAAACAAAGAGGATATTTTGGAGAGTAAAAATGAAACAAAGGAAATTTGACAAAACTAAAATCATAAGACAGGTGTGTTTTGCTGGAGGTTGCAACAGATTATTGTAGGGGAGTTCGCTGTACGGATGGGGGGTGTGCTGTATAAGTTGGGGTGATGGCTTGGGAGGGGGCTTAGGGAGGAGGGAACAAAACCATTATAGATATATTAGGATGAAAGCTTTGTCAGAGATGATGAAGATGATGAAGAAGCATAAAAAACCTTCTGTACCACAAACAACCCATTTATCGTTTTAGAGAGCTGAAGTCCCACTCCACGCAGACGGTTAGCATCTGTGCTACTAGCTCCGTGCGTTTGGACTGGACGGCAACATTTAACAACATGAGAATTTTAACCAAGATAAAATAAAATGACGTTAAAGGCAAAACGGCTGCTCTTCACTCTGAGTGGGGCCTGTCGCTGCAGCTCGCCGCCTCCTGCTGAGCTACAGAGATTTGAAGAGGCCGCCCCAGCGACACCGCGGGGGAAAGTCGAGAAAAGCTCAACTTCATATGCACATCTCCTCTGATGCAACGCGGGAGACAAACCAGGCCAGAGCCAGCTGAGATCGTTTTAATGTCTGCAGAAAACAGAAGCGCAGAGCTATTTACTCCTCTGCTACACTGGCAGAGCGGAGTTCACTCCCAGCGCAGACACGGGACGGCCGTGTGGATCCCTCCGGCCCTCCCGGGCGTCGTTACTGTAGTGAAAACAGATTCAACGACATGTAGCACAATGTAAAAAGGTTTGTCAAGAAACCAACAGCTGCAGGAGGATACATCAGAAAACAACTGTGCAATCAGCTTGGGCCGATATTTGATCATTTTGAAATTAGCGATATTTTTCATAACAGCAAAAAAACATTATCATTTATTTATTTGCAGAAGTTTTGCAGTCTCCCCGCTGCTTAGTCCGACCCTCATTTCATGCTTGGCTTACCGTACATTGAACTACTGTTTACATCGCTCATATCTGAAACATAACATACAATAATATAAATATATATGTTAAAAAAACCCCAAAAAAACATGCAATACTAATACATAACATAATACGACAAAATTATGGTAATAATATATGGTAATATATTATATTGTGATATTTGGGCTGTATAGAGATATTACAGATACTACAGTCGCAGCAGATCATGTAAAGGACATGCTCAACAAACCCACAGAGCTACAGCTGCATTAAAAGGCCAGAACCTGCTCACTACTTTGCATCTGTATGCGTATGAATGTAGCGTTAGCCCGAGGCGTGCTACCGAAACCTAAAGGGAGCTGTAGCTGCTGAATGCTAAAGATCATCATATGGGATTTTACTGGCAATAAAGAGCAGCAGTGCAGCAGCCAGTCAAGTCTCATGTTTCCTCTCAGAGTGATGATGGAACTTCAGCTCTCTAAAATACTGTACATTTAAATTCACTATAGCATCCCCCCCCCCCAAAACACCCAAACACACCTGGTATTAACATGCAACCTGTTATCTGGACACATTATCTGGATATTGACAACACCTGGACAATTAATTACTCTTGCATTTCGACTCTGATTGGTTTCCATATGCAGATCAGATTAGTAATGCTGCTATATGGAGTTTTCCTTTGCAGATGGAGAAGGCTTTGCTTTGGATATGAGCCACACCACCTCCAGATGTGGTGCATGTGCACTTACACCATCCATTACTGTACATACTCCGCTCATACACATTCACAGCTTAATATCGAGTGTAAACGGCATTTTAGGACACAGCTTGTCATGATTTTTTTTTTTCTTCTGTAACACACATGAATGTGCCTCACCCTCTGCAAGCGACACTGACATTTACATCTTCTGCCAAACTGTGTCGCTTTCTGTTTCTCAACAAGCTGCGTTTAAAGACAGCGGGACTGATGTTCAAGAGGTAAAGAAGGACGAAACTGAGCTGTTTGTAAAAAGAAAGAAGCTGGAATTCAAGATGAACACAACAGGAAACTGTCACACTGATCTTTACACAGTAGCTGAACTGAAGCTGCTGTAAGATCTCTTTATAATTTTATCAGTGTACCATGTAAGCAAATGAACTCTTCGGCCCAATGACTGAGTGATTGGAAACATTTCTTGCATCTATTCAAGCTGTGGCTTCTTCTTCTTCTTCTTCTTCCCCCCTTCTCTCCACACTGTGGTGGGAGCGTTTGTGCCTGACAGCTTCCCTGATTGCACGCGAAGGTCCGCAGGGAGCGCGCTCCGAGGCATGAATAATCAACAGCAGATAAAAGGGAGTCACGTTCAGATCAGAGCGGTCATCCTCCATTTGTCACTGCCACAAAGCAAACGCAACCGTTCTGAGTGCTCCGCAACAGGAGAGGGTGAAGCCGTGCGTCTGCGTCATAGAAGGTAAGTGTTAATTCATTTCAACATAATATAAATCAATATACTGTATTGGCCTGAATATCAGACGATGTTTTCATCTGGAAGTCAGATTTGAAAAAGTTGGAGTCGTCTTAAATTCGGGGGACGAGACAATTACATGTTCACACCATCATCGTATTCGACAGAGAGTGTTGCATTGTGGGTTGTTTGTAGCGGTAATGTTGCTAGGGTAGTAATCGTCTTCAGTAGGCTTGGGCTGATATTCGCTAATATCAAATATTGCAATATTTCCCACCATATGCAATATTTTTCATAATATAAAAAAAAAAAATTAAATATCGTATATCATGATAATATCGTATATTGCAATGATATTGTAATAACGCAATAATATATATCATGATATTTGGGCTGGACATTATTAAAATAAGAATATCTCCCAAGCCTAGTTTTCAGTCTGTTTATGTCTTTCGGCGCTGAAAGTTTTTGGTTCGTCCAGTTTCAACCTGCAGAAGTTTCTGAAGGTTTCGTGTTTTGCTGCAACGAGGGAAAGAAAAATTCAGGAGTGAAAAGGAGTTCACAGCGTCTCCTGACATCTTTACTGCAGGAAATGAACCGGGGGAAGAAAATCTGTCAAATAGACAACTGTCAGACAATATGGCTCTGACGCTTCGACAGTCCGTCTGCGTCCATATCTGGACCACGGCCCACCTTTTTAGTGACCTCTGGTATACTGTATACACAGTGTATAGTAGTGAGGTTAGTGGTCAAGCCCCTCCAAAAGGTCAGTAGATAAATCCGAGGCTCTCTTTGGGCCTCCGACAGTTATTTTATTGAAACCATGCGAAACAAACTGGTAACTACATCTGTCAGAAACATGTAGAGGAGTAAGAGGTGATATATTTCCTGCCGAAGTTCGGCTCAACTATCTACCAAAGAGACGGGAGTGAATCTAGCTGCTGCTCTGCGGTCAGCTGGTGGGAGACCCGGCCGACAGACGACGCAGATGGAATAAACTTTGGCAGATCGTCTTATCTGTGTGGAGACTGATAAAAAATAAAAAAAATAAGGAAAAGAGCAGATTTGTCATGGACACTTCAGCGTCATTGTCACCTTGGATGACCTGACATTTCAGACTGAATGAGGCTGACCCATCCTTACATTTGCTTTACACTGTGTGTGTGTGTGTGTGTGTGTGATTTCTCCCCACTGTCAGCGGCACGATGACTAGTAAGTGAAATATCAATTTCATCCAGAGTCCAATCATGAATTTGCATATTCATGGTGGTGGTAACTTGTATTAAAGCCTCCCCGACAGTCTGTATCTCACGTCGCTCACATTCACAGCCACGATTAAATGGCTCGGTGAAGGAGGGACTTACTTGATCTCTACTTCTGATGTACAGCTTCATTTCTTTTTATCATGTAATGATTTTTTCAGGTGACACTTCCTACTTCACGATGCATGCACTGTGCAGAAGAGTGCATTTATGCTACGGTAAAATAAAAAAGGTTAAAAGCTCCATATTTTACACTTTTCCTGTGTTTTATTTGAAGTGTTTGATCCATGAGAAGATATATTTGTGGGTTTTAAGAACCAAAAACCATCTCAGTGTAGTTTTACATCTCCTCTCTCAGGCTTCTCTCTGGAGCTCTAGTGACAACAGGTCGGTGAGCCAATCAGAAGAGAGGAGGAGGAGTCTGAGCCTCTCACAAAACAGAAGGACTAATACTCTTTTCTATCTGGTTCTGTGACTGTGACTGTGTGTTGTTGCCAATGAAGTTGCAACACTATGAAAATAAATAAATTCATGTTCATGATGAAACTCATGATGCACATGATGATTATTATTAATATGAAGATTTGCACTGAAGCAGTAATTGACTTGTGAGGGTTTTTGCGTCCCCGGCGGCTTTGATCCGGTCCTGTGTTCTCAGTTATTCAGCGTATGAAATGACTGAACATAATGATTTTGAGGAAGAAAGCAGTTTTCTCTGTGATCTCCACTGTGTTTTTTATCTGTGATTCATTTAAAAAAAACAAAAAAAAAAAACACTACCAGAGTTGAAAATGGAAAAACAACCCCAAAAACAAAATACTGACCCAGGAAGCAGAAGAACTAAATTTCCTCTCATGGAAAAGTTATTGAGACAGAAATCTGGATCGTGTCGTATCTAATTCAGCAGTTCTGACCATAAAGCAAATTATTTTGGTCTATTTTCTGCAGACACTCCCCCGTAGCGTTGATACTTACCATGAAGTGATTAGGTACTGGGCCAGGTTGATGGCTATCGGCGTGCCGGTGATGGTGACGTGGCGGTCGCTGGTGCTGTCGATCTGACTGCCGATCTTGATCTGAGCCCCCGACACCTGCCGGATCTCATTTATCTTGGTGCCTTGGCGACCGATGATTGAGCCAATCAGCTGTGAGGGAGGGGAGGGGGGAGGGGGGGGGGGGTGAGACAGACGATTCAGAAGATTAGAGAACATTCCCATGAAGCAGCGTTGTACCGTCTTCTATCTTTCATCTGTCCCAGTAGTTGAGATATTTCAGTCTGGACCAAAGCGGTGGACCGACCGATCAACCAACCAACCAACTGACTAACTAACTAACTAACTAATTAACTAACTAACTAACTCACTAACTGACTGACTGAGATTACAGAGTCACAGAAGACGAGTGCCCCTTTAACAACATGAACGATTCCATGTTGTTTTGCCGGTTCCAGGATCCTGGTCTGTGTATTTGGCTCATTGACGAAGACTTCCTGGACACTAGTTCACTTACTTTACAAATCAAGATATTTGCATATACTTTGTCATAAACTAAACTGCTAATCCAGTGGTAGATACTAGTACAACTTAAACGATGAGTCAATTAATGACTGCCGACTATTTTGACAAGCATTTGAATAATTTTGAGGAAGTTTGAGGTATATACGAGTAAATTCAGTAAAACAGATTTTCTGCATTAAGTTCTTTTACGTTTAATACTTTATGAACATTTTCCTGATTATACTCAGATACTTTTGCAGGACTTTGCTGTGTCTGGCGTCAGCGCTTTTACTGAAGAGGACGTGAAAACTTTCTGACCATGGACGGAGGTGGACAGATTATTAGAAACCCCCTCTGAATGCATCAAAACTGAAGTGAGAGACAGAGCTGAACCAACGCAGTCTCAACGCCCGACAGAAGAGAACAAGCGACAGAAAATGTCATTAACTTCTTTTTTTCTTTGCTGGTGTCGGACCTTGTGAACCCACACCTACACCACCTCTATCTCTGTCGTTTATGTTTTCAGCCTCTCCATCCATCCATCCATCTTGTTATCTTTTCGTATCTAAAAATACGAAATAGCAACAGGTGGTAAGCTCTGACACGTCTGCCTGCCAGCAGCTTTGTGAGTGTGTGTGTGTGTGTGTGTGTGTACCAGGCCCAGCGGGGGTTTTGTCGTACAGTAGGTGTCACCGTAACAACAGACTGATATTTACTGTGGTGTCAGCTCGGATCGTAAACATGCCTCGTTAGCTCCTGCGTGCGAAGGTTGCACCATTGACCTTGTCTCTTTTTGCACAGACGAGACAGAAACTTGATAATAACGAAACACAAAGACTGAAAATAACGGCAAGGAAATTTGAGAGTTGAAATAAAACAGGACGACCTCCGACAGAATAATAAATCTGAATGACTCCGCAACATAAACTCTGTCAGTCATCACTTTTCTCTGCTCTGAAACAACATACATTTAAATGACTTAAATATTATTAGACGTGACAGGAATATAATGAGAGAGAATCTAAATATAATCCAATTTAAACAGAATAACAATGGTATATTTTTCGGAGCCCCATAAGAGCAGTGTGGTGTAAAGAATCGGCAAAAACAGCTAATTAACCCTCATTACGGCTCATTAACTTCAAATCCATCATATTAAAAAACATATAATGTTAATTAACTTCAGCATTTACACTTAATTATTTGTTTACTTATAATGAAAGTTAAAAGATGGTAAGAACGGTTGTAATACTTCGCTTCACAGGGAAATGATTTGTTTTAGGTTAATGACTTGTAATGACGGGGAAATTTCATTCTCTTTCTACTAATTAAATTTTTTTTTTTTCTTGCGATCACAGTGAAGTTATTGCTTGATTTAAATATTTAGAGTTCGTTCTGTCAAGATGAGAAAACACAGACAATTTTGTGAACTACAAAGAAGGAAATATAGACGTGTCTCCGCCGGTCGTACGGAGCCGTAAGCAACAACACAGTCGGATCAAAACCATCCAGAGGAAACGTGTCTGTTCGACGCCACACGCTGCTTCAGCTGCAGTTGTATAAAACGGCAACAGTTTTTAGAAGCATTAAGCAGAATCCAGGGACAGTAACCTTTCAGGAAGTGGCTTGTGGGCCAAGTACGTTTAGCGTTTTTTTGGTTTTGTTCAGGCGCTCTCAGCTCGGGGGAGAGATGGTCTTGGTTACGTGTTGAAAGAGTCAACAGTGACTTGAAACACAAAACACACGGAACACAAACCACGATCTTTCCCTCATTCCTTAACCAAAGTGTTTGTTTTGGTCTCCAGCAGTGTTGCAGTCGAGTCACTAAACCTCGAGTCTCCAGTTCCGACTAATCGAGTCTGAGTCCGAGTCTGAGGCAAAGAAGTAAAGAAAAGGTCTGTCACTATTTTAAAGGGAGTTTATTTACTGTGTGAAACAACTGCCAAACAAATGCACTATTAACAAAAAGAAAGTGAGTGTCCTCATCACAAATTTCAGAGCGCAGTCGAGTCCGAGTCCGAGTCATCAGTGCTCAAATCTGAGTCGAGTCAGGAGCCCTGAAAATCAAGACTCAAGTCGATCATCGCAGATTCTCCCTGTCTCCACCGGAGGGGTAAACACCGCTCTCCCAAAGGACACGCTCTCGATTCTGGTGTTTTGATGCTGATGGCTCTAACACGTCGCTCCAACATCTCGCAAGGGCGTTAAACCGGGTACAGATCCGGTGACTGATCATCTTCATCAAACCTTCAGTGAGTCCTCCTCACCTGTACAGAAGCGTCTACTTTCATTTCTTTTTAAATGTGTTTCTCTAACAGGGACTAGGAGACCCGGTTGGGGATCAAGTCCTCCAGGAGCCGAGGCAGGTTCTGGTGTCAGATCCTCCACTTGAAGTCACATCAAACTAAACCTGGTTGGGGGGTTGGGCTACTACGATACCCAGCGTTGCAGATTTTGGGCCTGGGGGGCGCGGCACTGGCAGCCGAAGGGTTCACCTCTGTTTTTAAATCATCTCTGAATGAAAGTTCTCCGACACAGAGACTCAGAGGCAGAACTCTCCACTGATCCTCTCCTCTCAGCCTTCTCACTTTTATCTGTGTATGACCCAGATCTTTCTCTTATTCACACTTTCTGCCTCCTCGCCTGCTCACTTCACCTTTTTCTGCATCCTTCATTCGATATCTTTCACTCCTTCATTGCCCCTTTCTCTCTCTCTCTCTCTCTCTCTCTCTCTCTGCACAAACATTCCTGTCCCCACAAGTCATCTGACCACCAGGCTCTGATGGAGGAGATCTGCTCTGTGGGCTATTCGTGGAAAGAGGTCTGATAATGTAAGTGTGCGTGTGTGTGTGTGTGTGTGTGTGTGTGTGTGTGTGTGTGGAAGCTATAATGACACTGTGGGAGAGACAGATGACAAAGTGCCAGCTGACAACAACCAGGTCAGGACCCATTTGTGTGAAATCCACCTTTAGCCGCCGTTCGACCCCCTTGAACGGCCTCATTGAATCACAGGCTGCGAGTCACGACCAGCAGAGGCACCAGGCGCTCGGACTTCCTCCTGTACGACCCAGCAAAAAAAAAAAAAAAAAAAACCCTCATATCTCCAGGTCAGGCCTGTATGTAATTATAGTCCATCCATCCATTATCCATACCGCTTTATCCTTCTAGGGTCACAGCGGGGCTGCAGCCAATCCCAGCTGATATCGCCAGTCTATCACAGGACCGCCATCTGTGAGGCGACAGTGCGAACCGCTGCGCCGTGTAATTAAAGTAAATGTATTACAGCGATGTCAGTGGACAGCATAAGGTAGAGCAGGTTGTCCACTAATCAGAGGGTCGGCGGTTCGATCCCCGGCTCCTTCAGTCCACATGTGACTAGAAGAAAACACTATGTAAGTGCAGATCAGGGCCGGTGCATCAAAGGCCTCGTGATACTGTCGTACTGACGTGCGACAGCAAATACGTTTTTGTCGTCAACCAAATGAGGAAACCTTCATAATTAACGTGGCTACGTAAAACTACTTGGTTAGGTTTAAGGGGAGAAGATCGTGGTTTGGGTTAATATAAGTACTATAAAAGATCTTTGTTGTCATGGTTACAATAATAACAACGTGGTTAACTTTGTCAAGCTGCTACTTTTCACATGGGAATCGAACGCCGCGCTCCTGTGTCATATTCCCGTTGATCCATCCGTCCACCACGACCTCGTCCTGACGTGGACTTTCTCGCTCTTTATACTACGTCACTTTGCTGCTGTCGCCTAGCAACAAAACATAACTGTGGTTCGGCCTGTGGGCTCATTTTCTACACGAGGACAGTCCTGTTTTTGTTTAGTTTTTTCCAGAGTCACGTGACTAAACAAAGAGGGCGTTGTGACTTTTACAGACTGAAAAATCCTCATGTTTGGTGACACTAATAAAAACTGACTCCACTTAAAAATGTTCACCCCCCCCCCGCCACTGCGGGAGAAACAGTCGCAGTGGCCCTCGCTGTGAAAACAAGCTTTGGCTTTTACACTTTCTACAAGGCTGACTGCTCCGGAGATACGAGGTTCTTTCGCAGGACTCTGTACAGTGTTACGTGCCCCCTCTTTCCGAGCGGCTTTTATGTAAGTGCTGTTGGGTAAAATCGGCTTGAAGCTGAGGAGGAAGAGGACGAAGAGAGGGCTATTTTTGGGCGATTCCCCGCTGCCCTTGTAATTTGGAAAAGGTTTATTGAAGGAGAGAGAGAGAGAGAGAGAGAGAGAGAGGGTTGCTGTTAAATCTCTAACTGTGAGACTGTGAGCTATAGGATGTCATTAAGCTGCTCTGCCTGGCCCTGCTCAGTGACACACACACACACACACACACACACACACACACACACACACAAACACAAACACAAACATCACACACTTACATGCACAGGGTCTTAAGCTATTATGGTGTTGCTGGTTCTCCTTTTGATCCTCACACCATTCTCTCCCATATATACACACACACACGTGATCTGTGTGTGTGTGTGTGTGTGTGTGTGTGTGTGTGTGTGTGTACATATGCTAAAACTGCACAGAAACATGAATGGACGCTCCAGGGCCTTGAAACTGATGCTTCATTTATACCTGAAAGGTGGCGGCACCTGCGGAGGTGTTGATTATCGTGTCAGAGCGGAGAGGCGGAGTTTCCTGTGCCGCAGATGGCTCGTATATAAAGTGTGGAGAGATGTTGACGGAACATGACTGTGTGAGTTCCCGGGGAGAGAGATGCTGAAGAATGAACGAAGCCTCGGGCAGAAACAGCGAGAAATGTGGGAAACACGACAACTGTGGAGGGAGGGTTCAATGTATGAGCAGCGCCACGTGTATTCACTGTATTCTGCTGTTTATTTTCTAACTGCCCTCTGAATCTGATCTCTGAATCTCCACTCGCATCTCCGATTTGTGCAGTTTCTCATTTTTCTCTCCATCGCCAGAAAAGAACGTCAACACTGTGATTCTGCAGATTTATGTTGAAGTTAAGGAACAATCTTATGGCGGATAAACTATAGCTTACGGCCGATTGTTGGTGGGTGGTTAAAACACGTAAGGTTAGACGGAAACTGTAGACATCGTCTGCGGCGGGAAGCTAACTCCAGCATGAAAGAATCAGACAGGCTATTAGAGATCCTCACAAAGTCTGAAAATGACCCTCGGTAAAAACCTGAGCGGACGTGCATGAATGAATTTTGAAAGAGAAACGTGGATCGGAGCGCGGGAAGAACCGACCGGAACAGACCTGAGAATAATTAGACCTGATCCGGAAAGAGCCGAAGACTCGGGTTACGCTCAGACAGAACTAGTTTGCACGACGTGTTTTTTCCAACGATGTCAGAGTCCAAAAATAATTGATCTGCTTCACAAACTAATTTATGGGAATGATTTTTCTCCTCCTGCAACGATATATACTGTATGTAACTGTTATTTATTAGCACATGTATTTTTAACACAGGCTCCTGATTTCCCAATTTTTCTCTCCTGTGTTGATTGTGATGCACAACTTGATCTGAGAAGATACTGGCACCTGGGGCGGTAGGGGTATAATTTGGACCTGGTCTGACTCAGGTCCAGAGTCGGGTCTGGTTTTCCCATGAAGACCTCCACATTGTCGACTTCCAGCAGCTAAAGATTTCTGTCTTTTCTGCTGCTCTTAGATCGATACAATATATACAATATAGACACAATATTGATGAAATGCACGTCTGCTGGGCTTGTGGCCGAGTCTGCTAAATAAATAAACTATTAGTTAATGATTTTAAAGGTTCCATATTATATAGAGTGGGATTTCCAGGTGTAGTGTGATTATAGATCAGGTCTAGGTTCTATATTAATACTGTGAAAGTATCAAAGCCTCAGTCCACAGAGAAACACACACAGCCTGTATTCAGGAACTGAGCCTTAAAACCAGCCGTCGGGACTTCTGCAACTTTGTGATGTCACAATGAAACAGTCATCGCCCTCAGCACGGTCCACTTGGTTTAAACCATTTAAAACCTTTAAACCCAGATTTTGGTACTTGGTATGTTCCAGATCCTAAAAAGTGACGGCACTTGTGGGTCATTTTTATCCTATTTCATGGTCGAAGGTTTGATTTTAGTTTCAGCTTAGAAGATTTAGTGGATGCTGTTAACATTTTTCATTGAGGTGCTCCTGGGAAAATGGAGGGAATGTTTCCTGTTTGCATTGAAATAACATAGTGACAACAAATGGTGCCTGGCTCCCTGACGCTTAAGTGAAGGTAACGCGTGTGTGGTGTGTGTGTGTGTGTGTGTCTCTGTGTTTGTCCTGCAGACGGAGCTGCTGACACACTGGGATCCGGCTGCTGTTTTTAACCCAGTGTTTTGACTGCGGGACGGAGGCTCCAGGCAACCGCTGTGAGACGGACTGAATGACTGACTGACAGCCACTGATGGATGGACGGAGAGCGGCAAAGTAGAGGACGACTCGTAGAGTGAAGTGAGGCAGAAAGGGGGAGCACGCATATCCTCTCAGAGTTAATGGGAAAAACACACTTGCTCGCTCGCTGCGCTCCTGTTCCCATTTCGCGTTTTCCCATCCAGCACCACGTATATCCGTGGATCGCCAGTGAACCAAATTTAAAACCTCTGTTTGGTGGTTTTCATTAAACTGTCATGATTCTGTTTGCCGGTGCTGTCAGCAGCCGGTTAAACGGGAAGAAGTTTGTAATGTGAACGGCAGTAAAGGTCTGACTGTGAGGTAGTCTGCCGCTCCCTGCCAGTCTGTGAGGCGGTGTGTGCTGTGATTGTGATGATAACGGAAAACACAAACAAACAGGTTCGTTTTCTCGGCTCTGAACCAGAGCTGATCTGCGAATCTCGTATTAAACTTCGATGTAAATCAGGCGTGGATCAGCTCACACCGGAGCGGCGTTATGTCGACACTTACATGATCATTATCGCCATTTCCTACATCTGGTTTTACATCTGTCTCACTGTTTTACTGTCCATAACGGCCTTACTAACATATAGTTCTACATTCAGTCTGCTTGCACATGTACACACACACACACACGATGTGCCGCAAACTGTAATACTGTGGTACTGTTACACCTTTTACAGCGTATGTCTACCACACTCTCCCATCATGCCCCTGGAAGGAAAACAGACTCTTTTTTGCTCTTTGAAATTATTGTTATAAAAAGTTAGTAACTCAACACTGTAATTGTCATAATTTTCCCCTAAAATGACTGTTTGGGCTTTGTATTTATGCTTTCCTGTTTAATTTTGAAATGATTTTCCTTGTATCCAGTTACCCATGCTGGTCTTACACCAACAGACTCACATTCTTAGATCCAGGCATATAATTTATGTGGGGAAAATAAACAAACGTGCTGACCCTTATTCCACTAAAATTCAACATGCCGTCAGACGCCAGTGTAAATGTTTGTGGCTCAGTTTAATTCCTCTCTGCTAATGAAGCGTGCCACGGGACGCAGACTCAGACTTCTCCTGCGTCACAGTGCTTTAATGTGTGTGAGCAGCTTCATTCTGACGTCCCACGACAAACCAAGCTGAAAGAGTGAGTGCAGCAAAGTTTGCTTTAATCTCATGTTGTGTTTTTTGTGGCTGTGCTTCTCTTTATACGCGGTCAGGCCGGGTCTGTGTTCATTATTATTATTTATTTATTTTTTTGTCTGAACGTTCACAATAACTGCTTATCGTTCCTGAGCCAGATTATTAGACGAGGAGTCACATTACAGTCGTGTAAACAGCTTAATTACTTTGATGCTTAATTCAGAGTTTTGAAAGGAGCCACGTCGCCGTCGCCGTCGGTGAAGCACTGAACAGCTGAACGCTGACGGGTGAATTACTGCCTGTGATGGACAGACAGAGGGAGGGTGAGGGTGAGTTGAGGAGGAGGGAGAGACGAGCAGAGGGAGGGAGAGACAGGGTGGCCAAAGGCTTTCTTATAAACTAAAAGTCGCTGCTTTGACCTCTCGACAGTCAACATGTCCATCAAACGTCACGTGTCCTTGAGCACGACACTGAACTGTTCCCCCGCTCTGATTCACTGCCTGGACAGTGTGTCGTTAGCAGCTCTGCACTGCAGCTGGCTCGGAGGCTGAGGGCAGGAGCGCCTCGTTTTTTTTTTTAGTATGTGCTCATATTTTTTCAGATAATAATCAGCCCCAACCCACAGTCAGACACTCAGGTTAGAATAATCTGTGGTGTACGTCTCATACAGCAGAGCTTTTTTTTTTTTAGTTTTGTGGCTACTTTTGCCCACCTCTTTGATCCAGAGTGAAATATCTCGACAACTGCCGGATGGATTGTTATGAAGCATTCACGTTCCCCTCAGGATGAACTGCAATAACTTTGATCCTCTGCTTTTTTCATCTAGCGCAAATCATCAGGTCAAAAATTTAAATTCTCCAACACTGTGGTTTATGACCAAACACCCATAGACATATATGCGTAGACGCCGTATCGGCTGCTGGATCTTACGTCAGCATCGCCGCCATCTTAGACCGGGCTAGACTGGCCTCCGTTTCCTTTTGACTTCAGCTCGTTAGTTTCCTTTCTTCTGTCAAGTTTCAATATCAAACCACGAGGTAAAGATTCTCCTGCACTGCACAACTAATCTGGAGAAACCTGAAGTAGAGTTATCAAATAACTTTAAAATAAACTTTTTTTTAAATTTTTTTTTTACCTCAGTTACTTTTGATAGTGAAGATCTGAAGTTACAGAATGTGGAACGACTTTCTGGATGAATTCTAATCAGATTTATGGACGTCGATCGTCAGTAGATCAGACATTATGATACCAGTGCAAAGTGTCTGTGTCACTGTGAGAAGAGGTGGCGTGGCGATGCATGTGGCAAATTGTGTCAATTATGTCAAGTTATATTAATTTACATCCAGAGCACTTACATCGTTTGGAATGAGGAGCTCCTGAGACGTGGTTTGTGAGTTGGCTTCCACCCCTCCTGAGAGAGAGAGAGAGAGAGAGAGAGAGAGAGAGAGAGAGAGAGTTAAAGTGATGTAAAAGTGGCTGTAAATAAACCTGTGAAAGAAATCTGCAGGAGAAATTCAAGCTTGTGCAGACTTTGAAAAGATCTGTATTTGTATATAAAAAAAAACAGACTGTGAATAAAAACTGTGAACAGATACAAAGCAGACAAGTCAGTGCTCAAAGTTCCCACACTGTGTGGAACCCTGAAGTGACGAGAAAACAAATTTTTGACCTAATTTTTTACACCAGAATCAGGAAACACCTGCCCTCTGACTGGATTGTCACTGTTCCTCCTTCCCTTCCTTCCTTTCCTCCCTTCCTCCCCTTCGCTCCTCTCCACAGGCGGAGGTCTGGTCACAGCGAGTTGAACCAACACTGCTTCTAATAGAGTGTGTGAACATCTGCTGGAAAGCAAGTGTGTGTGTGTGTGCGTGTGTGTGAGTGAGAGAGAGAGAGAGAGAATTTGCCACGACTGATGAGTTCTGTACCTGGGACATAATGGAATAATCAGCCATCCATATCCCCACATGATAATTTGCTCTTCTTTCGCTCTCTGCTGTGCGTGTGTGGTTAGCATTTGTTTGAAAAATGACGTGACAAAGCGACCGTGTCTTTCTAACAGTGAGGGTGTGTATGTGTGTGTGTGTGCGTGCCTCACACACCAGCTTTATTTTACATGTTCTGCACTTACAAAAAACCTCCACAACCTGAGTGGCTTTCCTCAGTGTTTGTATTCAAAGCGATAACTGAAGAACTATGTTCAGTGTCTCAAGATTTCACACTTTATTATTATTATTTTTATTCTGGATTGTACAGTCTCTTTCAATGTGAGCTATAACTTGATTGGTTTATAACAAAGATCATTGTAATATCGCCTAATGATTGTGTACAGGTGCTATAAATACCCATAACTGTGCATAATGGTCGCGTGTAGCTGTTCTGCTGCTATGTGAAAACCACACAAACTGCGCTGTGGGCAGAAGTATTGATTTGCAAACAGGTGATTTGGGGCATTTCAATTTGTGCATCTAGTTTTACAACGACTGAGATTTATAAAACTGAATCAAATGTACACATCTTTATAAATCTGCATTTCTGTCTTTGTGCAAATGCAGTTTTATTGGAGAGTCTGAAGAGTTTTAAGCATCTGTCCGCTGGTTGTTACCTGGTGTTTGCTAAAAAAAAAAAAAGTATTATGTATTAAGTATTATTAAGTATTATGCTTAAAGTATTGTATTTTGTTTTATTTTGGTTACTACTTTACTGCAGGTTTGAATTTATCACGTGATTGTTTTTCTTTTTGTTTCTTGAGTTTTTTTTTTCCTTTTTAGATTTGATGACTATGAGAAGTTTTAAGAACATGTGGATCATTCACTTTGCCAGCAGAGGTACAGTTTAAGTGTTTGTGTCATCTCAGGGATTTTGTTTTTAAAAAAATGCATCAAATCAATGGTGAAAAGTTGTAATAAAATACAGTAAAACAGAAGCAGAACACGTCGTTTTCAAAATGCTAACAAATCGTTTCTGATGATATGTAAATATCCTGTTAGCATGAACACATGGACAATTTACAGTGACAGAGAAGAACATGCTTCAGTCCTCTGTGACTGACAGTAATGCTGCTGTCCTTGAACAAGACACTGAACCCCTGTCAGCTGCAGCTCTGTAGCCGACCATGACCTCTGACCCCTCTGAAGAGGAGGGGGTAAGAAGAGGAGATCTCGATTAGGTGCCACAGAAGGAGCTTCGCCAACTATTAATGATTCATGAGCGAACAGTGGACTGAGACAACGCTTTGTTGACTCTCAAAATAACTCAAAGAAAAACTGTTTTCAAACATATGTATGACATCGCTCACTGTTCTGATTGTTGAACAGTCTTTAACAAAAAAAAAGAAAGAATGAAAACCAATTACACCTTTGATTTTCACCTTGTAGTCAATTAGCAGAGTTCAGAGCAGCGTGCAGCCTCGCTGCTGCAGCCAAAAATCCACAGGCAAAGTTTGACTTGAGAAGCTGCTCCACAGTCAGTGTGTGAGCCCAGCTGGATGCTGGGAATCAAAGCTAACACACAGGGATTATAATGCAGAACTGTAGGCTGGAGTCATGATTATACAAGGATTATTATCCAATATGAACTTAAAACGACTCTCACAGCACGAGAGGTTGATGTGACAGAGAGATGAATTCAAAGCCAGTCTGATAACGTTAATGTATTTTTACAAATATCTTCTGTGTGTGTTTAAATGATGAAACTCAAAGTAATGACTTTCTTTTTGAGTGAAAATAAGGTTTTTGAATAAAAGTATTTTTTTTCTTTTGCGGTCTGTGGAGTTTTTGTGTCAGAGGACAAAAATAAAAAAAATAAATAAAAAAAGAAAGAACTGTGACAACAAAGTGACTTCAAAGTCAACAGTGTTCAGACTGAACACAGATCAGCTGCTGACAGCCTGTCTCCGCTGCATGACACACACACACACACATCCATGTTTTACTACCTTCGTAGAGACCCTATCATTGACATGCATTGCATCGCCCCTTATGCTAACATAATCCATGACAACAAAAAGCCAAATCGTGACCCTGACTCTAATCTAAACCTGATTCTAACCCTAAAACCATGTGGAACAGCTATTTCAACTTGTGGGGTCAAGTGGTTTGGTCCCCACAAACGTGTTGACCCCAGAGCCTGCCGAGTTCATTTAACATTAGGGTTAATTGGCAACTCTAACTGAAATAGTACATTATGATGTTTTCATGCCTTACTGTACTATGAAGTTTTTGTGCAATTACTATAATATGGCATTTTTTTTATGGACTAATGTAGTATGATTTATTTTACGACAATATATAGTCATACTATAGAAAAGCATAAAAAGTCATGAAAAATGTCATACTAATACTATAGTAATGCATTAAAAACATCATAGCACAGAGAGAAAGGCGTTTTTTTGACTTTTTATGCCTTAATATACTGTGATGTTTTCTATGGCTTAATATACTATGATGTTTTTTGACATTTTATGCCTTAATATACTATGATGTTTTTTTTTGACATTTTATGGCTAACTATACTGTCATTTTTTGACATTTTATGCCTTAATATACCATGATGTTTTTTTGACGTTTTTATAACTTACTATACTATGACGTTTTTTTAAATATATTTTATGCCTTATTATACTATGTTTTTTTTTTACATTTTATAACTAACTATACTTTGTCGTTTTTTGGCATTTTATGCCTTAATATACTTTGATGTTTTTTTGACATTTTTATAACTTACTATACTATGACGTTTTTTTTTTTTTTACATTTTATGCCTTAGTATACTATGATGTTTTTTTTACATTGAATGACTAACTATACTATTTTGTTTTGTATGATGAACTATACTATGTCCGTATTTTTACATTTTTTGCCTTACTATACTATGACGTTTTTTTTACATTTTATGACTGACTGCTTTGTCGTTTTTTGACATTTTATGCGTAACTATACTATGTTGTTTTGTATAACTAATTATACTATGTCGTTTTTTGACATTTTATGCCTTACTATACTATGTTGTTTTTTTTAATTTTATGCCTTATTATATATGTCGTTTTTTTTATATTTTATGCCTTAGTATACTATGAAGTTTTTTTTACATTGAATGACTAACTATACTTTGTATTTTTTTTGCATTTTATGCCTTAGTATACTATGTTTTTTTTACATTTAATGACTAACTGCTTTGTCGTTTTTTGACATTTTATGCCTTACTATACTATTTTGTTTTGTATGATGAACTATACTATGTCTGTATTTTTACATTTTTTGCCTTACTATACTATGACGTTTTTTTTTACATTTTATGACTGACTGCTTTGTCGTTTTTTGACATTTTATGCGTAACTATACTATGTTGTTTTGTATAACTAATTATACTATGTCGTTTTTTTGACATTTTATGCCTTACTATACTATGTTGTTTTTTTTAATTTTATGCCTTACTATACTATGTTGTTTTTTTTAATTTTATGCCTTATTATACTATGTCGTTTTTTTATATTTTATGCCTTAGCATACTATGATGTTTTTTTTTAATTTTATGCCTTATTATACAATGTAGTTTTTTTTATATTTTATGCCTTAGTATACTATGATGATTTTTTTGACATTTTATGCTTTATTATACTATGATGTTTTTTATGGCTTAATATACTATGATGTTTTTTGACATTTTATGCCTTACTATAATATGATGTTTTTTTTTCCATTTTATGCCTTACTATACTATATCGTTCTTATACATTTTATGCCTTATTATACTATTTCATTTTTTGACATTTTATGCCTAAATATACTATTTTTTTGGCTTAATATACTATGACATTTTTTGACAATTGCCTTACTATACTATGACGTTTTCTTTTTTACATTTTACGCCTTACTATACTATGAGGTTTTTTAAAAAATTTTATGACTAACTGCTTTGTCGTTTTTTGACATTTTATGCCTAAAAATACTATGTTGTTTTGTATGACTAACTATACTATGTGTTTTTTTTTTTACATTTTATGCCTTAATATACTATGGTGTTTTTTTGACATTTTTAGAACTTACTATACTATGATTTTTTTTTTAAATTTATGCCTTAGTATACTATGACATTTGTTTACTTTGACTTTGTTTACTTAAGAATATATTAAGCCATAAAAAACATCATAATATAGTTAGGCATAAAAAGTCAAAAAACATCATAGTATATTAAGTCATAAAAAAGTCATAAAAACGACATAGCATAGAAAGGCATAAAAAGTCATAAAAACATCAAAGTATAGTAAAGCATAAAAAGTCATAGTATAGTAAGACATAAAAAGTCATAAAAACGTCATAGTATAGAAAGGCATAAAAAGTCATAGTATAGTAAGACATAAAAAGTGATAAAAACGTCATAGTATAGTAAGGCATAAAAAGTCATAAAAAC